CACTGCTGCGTCTGCTCTTGTTACTGAGCTCGTCGACTTTGCTGCTCGCTGTCGTCTAGACTACGTTGCTAGTCTTGTTGCTGAGTTTGCGTCTGTCTGTCCTCCGTCCGTCGGGGGTGAGTGTGCTCTTGGCACGGACGTCCTTGAGGACAGGCAGGAGGAGTTTCAGTGTCTGGCTGCTGCTTCACCTCATCTCGCGTCTGTACTGCTTGCCCCTGAGGGAGACCCGGATGCACTAGACATCTCGACTCCGCGCTCTTACGTGGAGGCCGTAGAGGGTCCCTACTCCTCTCACTGGCAGGCAGCTATGGATGTAGAGATGGCTTCCTGGAAGTCCACAGGCACCTACGTTGACGCGGTCCCCCCTCCTGGGGCGAACATCGTCAGTGGGATGTGGATCTTCAGGGTGAAGCGGACGCCGGGCTCTCCACCTGTCTTCAAGGCGCGGTACGTGGCTCGTGGCTTCAGTCAGCGGCAGGGAGTTGACTACTTTCAGACCTTCTCTCCCACCCCGAAGATGACCACTCTTTGGGTGCTGCTGCACATAGCCGCTCAGCGCGACTACGAGCTCCACTCTCTTGACTTCAGCACTGCTTTCTTGCAGGGTAGCCTGCACGAGGAGATCTGGCTGCGCCGTCCACCTGGCTTCACTGGGACTTTCCCTCCTGGCACCCAGTGGAGCCTCCGACGGCCAGTCTACGGTCTCCGCCAGGCACCACGTGAGTGGCACGACACACTGAGGACTACGCTTGCGGCTCTTGGGTTTGCTCCCTCTACTGCTGACCCGTCGTTGTTTCTGCGCACCGACACTTCTTTGCCGCCGTTCTACATCCTCGTGTACGTCGACGACTTGGTCTTTGCCACAGCGGACACTGCTGGACTCGCCTACGTGAAGTCGGAGCTGCAGAAGAGACACACGTGCACAGACCTGGGTGAACTGCGCAGCTACCTTGGCTTGCAGATCACTCGGGACAGAGCACGCCGCACCATTACCTTGAATCAGTCACACATGGTGCAGCAGGTCCTTCAGCGCTTCGGCTTCACGTACTCCTCGCCTCAGGCCACTTCTCTGTCTACTCGACACTCGCTCTCAGCTCTGCCTTCGGATGAGTCCGTAGAGTCGAGTGGCCCGTACCCAGAGCTTGTTGGCTGCCTCATGTACCTGATGACCTGCACACGACCTGACCTTGCATACCCTCTTAGCATTCTCGCACGCTATGTTGCTCCTGGGAGACACCGACCAGAGCACATGGCTGCAGCGAAGAGGGTGTTGCGCTACTTGTGCAGTACGTCGGGCATGGGGCTAGTGCTTGGAGGGCGGAGTCCAGTGGTCCTCACTGGGCACGCGGACGCTTCTTGGGCTGACGACCAGGCTACTCAGCGGTCGTCGCAGGGTTACACCTTCAGTCTTGGTTCCAGCTCTGTTTCGTGGCGGGCTACTCGCTCGTCTTCTGTTCTCGGCTCCAGTTGTGAGGCTGAGATCTACGCCGGGGCCATGGCTGCTCAGGAGCTTCGCTGGCTCACCTACCTGCTGACTGACCTTGGAGAGCCGCCTCGTTCTCCTCCAGTGTTGTACGTAGACAACAAGGCCATGCTGGCCTTGTGTCGAGAGCAGCGCCTGGAGCACAGAACGAAGCACATTGCGTACGTGGTCCTACTGGAGGTCTGGCTGAGCGTCGTGAGCCTGCGTCTCGCCCTGCGTCGCCTGTCCGTGCTACTCGCACTAGTGGTCGCGGTTCGCGTCAGCGTCCTCCTCCTGTCCCTGGCACGCACCGGATGTCTCTGCGTCCGTCCACTACTCCTCTGCGTGCCCCATTGCCTTCTCCTCCTGAGTCCTCTCTTCCTGCTCTTGCCGACCCGGAGTCGGACTCTCTTCGTGCTGCCAGTCCTACTCTCACGCGTCTCCTTGCTACTGTTGTCACTGACCCTTCTTTCGAGTCCACTGCTGCGTCTGCCCTAGTTGCTGAGCTCGTCGACTTTGCTGCTCACTGTCGCCTAGACTACGCTGCTAGTCTTGTCGCTGAGTCTGAGTCTGTCTGTCCTCCGTCCGTCGGTGGTGAGTGTGCTCTTGGCACGGACGTCCTAGAGGACAGGCAGGAGGAGTTTCAGTGTCTGGTAGCTGCTTCACCTCATCTCGTGTCCGTACTGCTTACCCCTGAGGGAGACCCGGATGCACTTGACATCCCGACTCCGCGCTCTTACGCGGAGGCGATAGAGGGTCCCTACTCCTCTTAGTGGCAGGCAGCTATGGATGCAGAGATGGCTTCCTGGAAGTCCACAGGCACCTACGTTGACGCTGTCCCCCCTCCTAGGGCGAACATCGTCAGTGGCATGTGGATCTTCAGGGTGAAGCGGCCGCCGGGTTCTCCGCCTGTCTTCAAGGCGCGTTACGTGGCTCGTGGCTTCAGTCAGCGGCAGGGAGTTGACTACTTCCAGACCTTCTCCCCCACCCCAAAGATGACCACTCTTTGGGTACTGCTGCACGTTGCTGCTCACCGTGACTACGAGCTGCACTCTCTTGACTTCAGCACTGCCTTCCTGCAGGGCAGCCTGCACGAGGAGATCTGGCTGCGTCGCCCACCTGGCTTCACTGGGTCTTTCCCTCCTGGTACCCAGTGGAGTCTCCGGCGTCCAGTCTACGGTCTCCGCCAGGCGCCACGTGAGTGGCACGACACACTGAGGACTACGCTTGCGGCTCTTGGGTTTGCTCCTTATACTGGCGACCCGTCGCTGTTTCTGCGCACCGACATTTTTTTGTTGTCGTTCTACATCCTCGTGTACGTCGACGACTTGGTCTTTGCCACAGCTGACACTGCTGGACTCGCCTACGTGAAGTCCGAGCTGCAGAAGAGACACACGTGCACAGACCTGGGTGAAATGCGCAGCTACCTTGGCTTGCAGATCACCTGGGACAGAGCACGCCGCACCATTACCCTGAATTAGTCACACATGGTGCAGCAGGTCCTTCAGCGCTTCGGCTTCACGTACTCCTCGCCTCAGGCCACTCCTCTGTCTACTCGCCACTCGCTCTCAGCTCTGCCTTCGGATGAGTCCGTAGAGTCGAGTGGCCCGTACCCAGAGCTTGTTGGCTGCCTCATGTACCTGATGACCTGCACACGACCTGACCTTGCATACCCTCTTAGCATTCTCGCACGCTATGTTGCTCCTGGGAGACACCGACCAGAGCACATGGCTGCAGCGAAGAGGGTGTTGCGCTACCTGTGCAGTACGTCGGGCATAGGGCTAGTGCTTGGAGGGCGCAGTCCAGTGGTCCTCACTGGGCACGCGGACGCTTCTTGGGCTGACGACCAGGCTACGCAGCGGTCGTCACAGGGTTACACCTTCAGCCTTGGTTCCGGCTCTGTTTCGTGGCGGGCTACTCGCTCGTCTTCTGTTCTTGGCTCCAGTTGTGAGGCTGAGATCTACGCCGGGGCCATGGCTACACAGGAGCTTCGCTGGCTCACCTACCTGCTGACCGACCTTGGAGAGCCGCCTCGTTCTCCTCCAGTCCTGTACGTAGACAACAAGGCCATGCTGGCCTTGTGTCGAGAGCAACGACTGGAGCACAGAACAAAGCACATTGCTCTCCGCTACTTCCTTGCTCGTGAGCTACAGCAGCGTGGACAGTTGCGGCTTGCGTACGTGGCCTCTGAGGCCAACACTGCTGATGTCCTCACCAAGGCACTTCCGCCTTGTGATCATCAGCGCTTCTGCACTCAGCTGGGTCTTGTGCTCGTCTTGCCTCACTTGCTCTCCTCTTGACCTTGCTTGTACTCTCACATATATATATACCTGCTCTTGCTTGTCTAGCTTTATATATATGTGTGTACTCTTGCATGTGAACTGGCCGTGTGGCCTTGACCCTGTGCTCGGACTGTGTGGTGACTTTGTGATCCACCCTGAGCTTGCTTTGCTTTGCTTTACTTGACTGGTCTCGTGACCCCTTGTTCTCCCCCACTTTGCCTATGGGGGTGTGTCAGAATGCTATATAGCTTATACATTTGTGTAGGCTATAATGGGGTATCCCATAGGGGGTACAACCCAATTAGGGTTAGTACTTGTACTCACTGATTTCATAGTTGATTCATTCTCGTTTCAATTCTCACAACCGTAAGCGAGATTAATGAGATGGCATCGTCGGAGCTCGCGGGGAACCGCGCAACAGGATTTCGACACAAGAGCGGTCAAGATAAACAGACAAACACAACTGCAAAAAAAGAAATAGTGAATCAAAACTTTATTTTGTTTTTTTTTCTCTAAATGTTCTGACAGGTTCGATTTGTGTTCTCTGATTGGGTGCGGAACTGATTCGTGCAATGATTCATTCAAGATGCAAGATTTCCCGCCAAAAATGGGACTGTATAGGAGGGGATACACCTAGGACTTATGTGAAAAATCTACTCGTTGAGGAAATGGGACTCTTTTAGGAAGGGCTTTTAAGCCAGAACATCTGTACGCCAGGACTTCCGCACAAACCGTTTCAAGTATTGGTCACTCTCGCCATGTGTCTCCCATATCACGAGCTCGACAATTCCACCTCATACTGTACGGGCTTAGTGTACGGACGCGGGCAGGAACTTTTACCAAACAATGCAGCCCCGACCCGATGCACACCGTATTTCTCGACATTGTAAACTACGTTACTCTTACTTGCCTTTGGCCGTTCGTAGCATATGGATATGTGGTGTTCCAATAGTTGTTCTCCCTGAGTACTCTCCCAGCAGGAACGTGTAGAGATTCCAGCAGATATCAAAGCTACTATCTAAGCCCAGGAAACATGTGGAGCTTCCAGCAGAAATCAAGCTACCATCACTACCAAGAGCAGCAAATTTACCATTTGCTTTCAGTCAAATTGCCACTTTATTAGGAAATCACACTCCAAGCCCGAGGCTGTACAGATAGCGGGGTCACTATTAAGTAAACCACATGAAGGAACAGTATGCTGACCCAAGTTGACCAGACAGACAATTTGATCCCTTACGGTGCATCAGAACGCCCTTTCAAAACTTCGACTGCAGCCACTGAAGCAACGCTCTGTTGAACGCATCCGGGTCCTCATCATGCGGGCAATGCCCCGCAGAAATGTCCACCCTCTGCGCCGCAGGGTAATTATCCACAATAGTCTGCGCCTTAGCAGGAGTCATCCACGGGTCCAGAGCCCCCCAGAGAAGCAGCATGGGACTCTCAGATGAGCGAAGAGTTGAAAGGAGGTCGTTGAGGGAGAGAGCAGAGGGGTGCAGCAGCACCTGAGTAGACAGCCTATAGTAAACCTCGGCAGCGTTGGGATCGCGCGTGGGCAGCACAATCGACCGCACCAACTCCTCGTCAACACTCGAAGCGTTGGGATATACCAGCTCCAGCACCTGCTTGATCCTCCCCGGCTGCTTCGCCTGCAGAAACGTCACCTGCAGCACAACTCTGCGGGCAACCTTCCCCACCACCGCCACCACCCCTTCCACCAGCTCCCCCACCTTCTCCTTAACAACCACCGTGAACGGCACCTGCTCCTCCTTCCCGTGCTGGTGCGCGTGCATCTCAACAGGCATTGCTGCTGCTGCTTTCCGCGCTTTCAGCTCGCTGGGAGACTCGTCTGCTCCGGAGAGCGGGGCCGTGCCGGGAGGAGCCTCGCTGAACTTGCCTGCAGCGTTCACAAGGACAGTACCGGCTACTTCATCTGGGTGGTTGGCTGCAGTGGTGAGGGTAACATACCCGCCCACACTGTTTCCCACGAGCACGGCGGGGCGGCCAATCACATCGCGGATGAAAGAGGAGACCTGGTCTGCCCACATGGCGGCACTGTATTGGATGAGAGCGCGGTCGCTCCACCCGAAGCCGATGAGGTCGATGGCGTAGACTGGTCTTCCCGAGGCTGCTAGCGCTGGGATGTTGTACCTGGTGGGGGGGAGGAGGGTGTGTGTGATAAGTAGGCCAGCCAGGGAATGGTGAGGCAGCAGCACTGGGATCGATGGCCTAGACCGGCCGGCCTGAGGCTGCCAGCGCTGGGATGATGTACCTGGTAAGGGGGGGGAGAGGATGGGGAGGGGATGCGGAGGTGAAGAGGGAGCGTGAGGCGTTGACGGGCCGGCGCCCTGAGGCTGCCAAGGCTGGGATGTTGTGCCTGGTGGGGAAGGGGGAGGGAGACGGATTGGTTGGCGAGTAGGGAAGGGGGTGCAGTGATTAGTGTAGGGAACGCTGGTGTACCTGGGCCAGCCACCCAGCCTGCCTCATGAGTGGTGCTCAAGCTGGGGTGTTGCACCTGGTGGGAGAGAGCGGAGGTAACGCTGGGGGAGGTGCGAGGGAGGTGGGGGGGAAGTGGGGGAGAGGAGGGGAGAGGTGAAGAAGAGGTGAAAAGGGAGGGGACGGGAGCGCGAGGGTAAGGGTTGTTGCTGACAAAGGGACAAGAGAACCAGCAAGGTCAGTGGTATGGACGGGTCAGGGCCGACTTGAGGGAGAAGGCAGAAAGAAGGAGTTTGAAGGCAACTTGTGAAGTGTCTCCATAGGCTTTTGCTGAACGTTGTACTTTTGAGGCGCCTCAAATCCTGTTGAACGTTACTTTGCGTGTGAGAGGGCGAGGAGGAGACAAGACACAGGGGACTTTCTGGAGAATCAGCCTCATACCTGCTCTCCCTCTTCCCCCCTCCGCCCCTCCCCCCTCCCTCTTCTCCTCCCGCCTTTCCCCGCACCCCCTTTTCCCCCCCACGTGCCTACCTCCAGTGGTAAACAGAGGCGCCGAAGCCATGGATGAGCAGCACGGGCGTGGCGTCGCTGCTGACGTCCCCTGCCACCACGTAGTTCACCTTCACACGGGGCCAAGTGGGCGGGGGGGAGAGGAGAGGAGGGGGAGAGGAAACGGTGAACCCATGAATGAAGAGCACGGGCGTGGCGAACTACGCCTCCGTCGCTGCTGACGTTGCTTCACCCCGTCGCTGCTGACGTTGCTTCACCCCGTCGCTGCTGACGTTGCTTCACCCCGTCGCTGCTGACGTTGCTTCATCCCGTCGCTGCTGACGTTGCTTCACCCCGTCGCTGCTGACGTTGCTTCACCCCGTCGCTGCTGACGTCTCCTGCCACCACGTAGTTTACCTTCACACGGGGTGCAGTGAGCGCGGGGGAAGGTGAGGGCGGGAGAGGGGGAAGGGGAAGGGGAAGGGGGGGAAGCGACGCCAGGCGTGGGAAAGGAGCGCGGGGTCGGAGGGAGACGAGGTGGGGTGAGCGAGCGGGTGTTATTCATGTGTCATGTGTGCTGGGTGCGATAAAGGATACGGGCAGGCGAGGGAGATGATAAGGGCAGTCGGGAAGGGAGGGAGTAGGGAGGGCGAGAGTAGGTCGTTGTACGTGAGAATACGCGCATGTGATGCGCGCGATGCGTGAGTGCATGCGAGCACGCCGGCGGGCGGGTGGACGGGCGGGCATACCTTGTTGCCTTGCCACTCCCACTGCTGGTAGCCCTCCTCCTGGAGCACCATGCGCGTCAGGCCTGCATGGAAACGCGAGGGCGGGGGGAGCGGGAATCAATTGTTGATTAGTCGACCGAAACAAATCGCCATTCGCGTGACGCCTTCATGGAAACGCGAGAGTGAGAGGGGTCCGGGGAAGACGGGCGACAGAACAGGTTGACGGGCGAGAGAGAGAAAGCGAACGGGCCGGGGTCAGGACCGTTTAACCTAGCAGTAATTCGCCAAACTAGCAATCATACCCGCACCTCCAAAGCCCCCCCCCCCCCCCCCCCCCGCTTCCCAGTCAACTGTTCATCTCCACCCGCCCGTCTCCCTCTCTTTCCCGCGAGCGCAACCCACCGCGTGCGTCGAACTCTGTAGGGACCTCCACTCGCGCCACCTTCTCAGCCGCCGGCGTCGTCGCAGCGCCTCCCTCCGTCGCTTCGCTAGCGATCGCGAAAGCCGGTCGCGCTCTGCTCGGCGACGGCGACGACAGCGACGCGACGGGGATCGGCGAGCTTAAATTCCCCACCGCGGGTACGTCGCCTGGTCCTCCGCCCATCACCGCAGTGACGGTCCTGATTGGCCGAGTTCGTCGCGGAGGTGCTGGCTGAATTGCGGATCGTGCGGATTCGGAAAGCTGTCTCGCGGAAAGACAGCGCGACGCGAGAGACGCAGCGCAAGCTGGAGGAAGAACAATCGATGCCATTGGTTATCGATGTGAAACTGCGGCAAGGATAGAGAGCGGCTCCGATTCACAAACACATCAGTCTGGGAGATTAATGAGTCTGCAACTTATAGTCAGTTCACCTCACCACCGTTAGCGCCAATTCCATTTGGAAATCAGAGGAATGCGAGTACATCACATCTGTAACGAAAACAGCGACATGATGTTCAACGCCTGCGAAACCTTTTCGCCCCATCTTGGAGTCAATCAAACCTCGGCCAAACCGACTTGACGAAGCGTGGTCAGGGATATCGCAACTGTACAGTCTGCCTGGAATGTACACGCCAGAAACACGAACGATCACCGCCTTCCTTCTAGCATGTCTGCCCGAACTCGACGTGTCATGTTGGTGGTACGTGGACTCCCAGATTCGCTGTACGCTCCACGTGTTCGGCAATAATGAAGGCGTTGTGGAGCCAGACTAAGGGAAAGTTGGGTACAAGTGCAAACCCTGGAAAGCTGTACCCCATATGTGCTACTCCACTATAGTCTACAGCAGCTAAGTCATATAAATCTGACACACCCCCATAGGCAAAGTGGGGGAGGACAAGGGGTCACAAGACCAGTCAAGCAAAGCAAAGCAAGCTCAGGGTGGATCACAAAGTCACCACACATTCCGAGCACAAGGTCAAGGCCACAAGGCCAGTTCACATGCAGGAGTACATATATATATAAAAGGCTAGACAAACAAGAGCAAGTGTGTATATATATATGTAACAGTACAAGCAAGGTCAAGAGGTGAGCAAGTGAGGCAAGGCAGGCACAAGACCCAGCTGAGTACAGAAGCGCTGATGATCACAAGGCGCAAGCGCCTTGGTGAAGATATCAGCAGTGTTGGCCTCAGAGGCCACGTACGCAAGACGCAGCTGACCACGCTGCTGCAGCTCACGAGCAAGGAAGTAGCGGAGAGCAATGTGCTTCGTTCTGTGCTCCAGTCTCTGCTCTCGACACAAGGCCAGCATGGCCTTGTTGTCTACGTACAGGACTGGAGGAGAACGAGGCGGCTCTCCGAGGTCAGTCAGCAGGTAGGTGAGCCAGCGAAGCTCCTGTGCAGCCATGGCCCCGGCGTAGATCTCAGCCTCACAACTGGAGCCGAGAACACAAGACGAGCGGGTAGCCCGCCACGAAACAGAGCCGGAACCAAGGCTGAAGGTGTAACCCTGTGACGACCGCTGCGTAGCCTGGTCGTCAACCCAAGAAGCGTTTGCGTGCCCAGTGAGGACCACTGGACTCTGCCCTCCAAGCACAAGCCCCATGCCCGACGTACTGCACAAGTAGCGCAACACCCTCTTGTCAGAATTATGTTTATTATAACTGCATGTAGTTCTAGCTGTAGTGTAGTTATTAAATTTGTAGGTGGTGCACCTCTTCATTTGTTTCCTTTGCTATATGTACTTCGAAATCTATAGTGAAACCTCATTCTCCCAACTTCCCTTCCAACTCACTCAAACCTCACCCTAGGCAAAATCCGCTCGACATCCTAGTTGGGCCTAGGCTACTAAGCCTAGGCCCTAGTTAGTCTTAACTCATCCTAGTACAACTTTCGACACCTCTTCGTTGCAGCCATGTGCTCCGGTCTGTGTCTCCCAGGAGCAACATAGCGTGCAAGAATGCTAAGAGGGTATGCAAGGTCAGGTCGAGTGCAGATCATCAGGTACATGAGGCAGCCAACAAGCTCTGGGTACGGGCCACTCGACTCTACGGACTCATCCAAAGGCACAGATGAGAGCGAGTGGCGAGTAGACAGAGGAGTGGCCTGAGGCGAGGAGTACGTGAAGCCGAAGCGCTGAAGGACCTGCTGCACCATGTGTGACTGAGTCAAGGTAATGGTGCGGCGTGCTCTGTCCCGCGTGATCTGCAAGCCAAGGTAGCTGCGCAGTTCACCCAGGTCTGTGCACGTGTGTCTCTTCTACAGCTCGGACTTTACGTGGGCGAGTCCAGCAGTGTCAGCTGTGGCAAAGACCAAGTCGTCGACGTACACAAGGATGTAGAACGGCGGCAAAGAAGTGTCGGTGCGTAGAAACAGCGACGAGTCGGCAGTAGAAGGAGCAAACCCAAGAGCCGCAAGTGTAGTCCTCAGTGTGTCGTGCCACTCACGCGGTGCGTGGCGGAGACCGTAGACTGGCCGCCGGAGGCTCCACTGGGTGCCAGGAGGAAAAGACCCAGTGAAGCCAAGTGGGCGGCGCAGCCAGATCTCCTCGTGCAGGCTGCCCTGCAGAAAAGCTGTGCTAAAGTCAAGAGAGTGAAGCTCGTAGTCACGGTGGGAAACTATGTGCAGCAGTACCCAAAGAGTGGTCATCTTCGGGGTGGGAGAGAAGGTCTGAAAGTAGTCAACTCCCTGTCGCTGACTGAAGCCACGAGCCATGTAACGCGCCTTGAAGACAGGCGGAGAACCCGGCGGCAGCTTCACCCTGAAAATCCACATGCCACTGACGATGTTCGCCCCAGGCGGGGGAACCTCGTAAACGTAGGTGCCTGTGGACTTCCAGGAAGCCAACTCTACGTCCATAGCTGCCTGCCACTGCGAGGAGTAGGGACCCTCTATCGCCTCCGCGTAAGAGCGCGGAGTCGGGATGTGAAGTGCATCCGGGTCTCCCTCAGGGGTAAGCAGTACGGACACGAGATGAGGTGAAGCAGCTGCCAGACACTGGAACTCCTTCTGCCTGTCCTCAAGGACGTCCGTGCCAAGGGCACACTCACCCCCGACGGACGGAGGACAGACAGACTCAGCGAGAAGACTAGCAGCGTAGTCTAGACGACAATGAGCAGCAAAGTCGACTAGCTCAGCAACTAGCGCAGACGCAACAGTGGACCCAAAGGAAGGGTCAGTGACGACAGTAGCAAGGAGACGCGTGACCGTAGGACTTGCAGCATGAAGAGAGCCCGACTCCGGGTCGGCAAGAGCAGGAAGAGAAGACTCGGGAGGAGAAGGCAAAGGGGCACGCAGAGGAGCAGTGGACGGACGCAGAGACATCCGGTGCGTGCCAGGGACAGGAGGAGGACGCTGACGTGAACCACGACCACTAGTGCGAGCAGCACGGACAGGCGACGCAGGGCGAGACGCAGGCTCACGACGCTCAGCAAGACCTCCAGTAGGACCAGTGTAGGGAGAAGGAGCAGGCAGTGGGGAGGCTGGCTGTAACTGTAACTGTGACGGGACAGGCTGTGGACAGTCTAAGGGAGGAGGAGGACCAGTAGAAGGCGGGAGACCAAGAACCTGCTGAAGGAGCGGAACGAAGTACGGCCGAGGCCGTGCGGCGACTGTAGACACAACAGGGACAGCACCAGTACCCTTAGTGGTAGCACCAGCCCCAGCATTACCTCCAGCTCCTGTACCTCCAGCAGCACCAGTACCACCCCCAGTAGGACCACGAGAAGACGCAGTGGCTCCAGCTCCAGTAGTACCCGCAGGCCCAGCAGCTCCAGTACACCCAGTACGAGCACCTCCGAGACCCGTGACACCAGCACCCTCAGCAGCCGAAGAAACTCCAGCTCCAGCAGCACGCCTCCAGCGCCGGGCAAACCACTCGCGCAGCTCCTGTGGAGAGAGTGGCTCCCGCCGAGACAAAGCAACCGGAGAACCGCCAAGCACAGCACCGCCAGACGCCACACGAGCAGGCCCAGCTCCCTCACGCTCCGCACCCCCAGACTCAGCACCTCTAGGCGTAGCACCCCCAGGCTCAGCACCCCCAGGCTCAGCACCCCCAGGCTCAGCACCCCCAGGCTCAGCACCCCCAGACTCAGCACCCCCAGGCTCAGCACCCTTAGTCGTAGTACCCTCAGGCTCAGCACCCCCGGCCGTAGTACCCACACGCTCAGCACACCCAGAGTCAGCACCCCCAGGCTCAGCACCCTCAGCGGCACCAGAGTCACCAGCGACCTCGAAAGGCTCAATTGCGTCTACCTGGGACACACCTGAAGGGGCAGGACCCTGAGGGGGAAGGGGGTCTACCGGGGGGGGACCTGGCACAAGGAAGAGCGGTGGCGGGGGGAGGGACGGAGTGCGGTAGGGGAAGAGACGGTAGTAGGGGACCGACTCGTCGAACGTGACGTCCTGGGAGGACAGAACACGGCGAGAGGTGGGGTGGTAGAACTGCCACCCTGGCGCGTCAGGGGGGAAACCAAGGAAGACGCAAGGAGCAGCACGAGGGGACAGCTTGTCCGCAGACAAGTCGCGGACAAACGCACGAGATCCCCAGACACGGAACGCAGACGCATCGCCAACCTTCCCCGTCGACAGCAAGGCTGGGGAGGTCTCCGGCATGGAGACCCTGGGCTGAAGGTAGATTTGATGCGCCGGGTACCGAACCGCAAACGGCTACAGAAAATGGGGGCCAGCCGCATGCATCATGGACGTACGAGCGACGTCCATGACCATGCCAATGCGGCGCTCAGCAATCCCATTTTTCTGTGGAGAGTCCGGAAGCGTGAAGGTCTGGCAGATGCCTCGTGCACGACAGTAGGCTCGCAGAAGGCCAGAAGGGAACTCTCCGCCTCTGTCAGAGTGCAGACGCAACACAGGAAAGTCCGAGCCGAAACTCTGCCTGAGCAGGAGAGGAGCTGCGCGGATCCAGTCAATCAACACCTCAGTGACATCACCCTTGCTGCGCAAGGGGAAGACTGTGGTGTAACGCGAGTAGTCGTCAACCACCAGCAGGAAGTAGCGCTCGTGACCCTGTCCACGGACGCGGGCCGGGCCCCACACGTCCATGTGAAGCGTCTGCAATAGGGCCTCTGTCAGAGGAAACTAGGAGGAGTGAGGGGCAGCCCGCTGCCGCCCCTCGACACAGGGGATGCAGGTAGGGGCAGGCCCCGGAGGAAGGGGAGGGAGGGAC